AAACACCTTCGTGACGCATTATCTAGAGATATAGTTTCCCTGGATGGCATCGCCCTGGCCTCCAGCACCACTGTGAGAAATCTTGGAGTTATTTTCGATCAGGACATGTCGTTTAACTCTCACATTAAGCAAATTTCAAGAACCGCCTTCTTTCACCTTCGTAATATTGCAAAAATTAGGAGCATCCTGTGTAAAAATGATGCAGAAAAACTAGTCCATGCATTTGTTACTTCTAGGCTGGATTACTGCAATTCCCTGTTATCAGGGTTTTCAAAAAAGTCCATTAGGACTCTTCAGCTGATCCAGAATGCTGCAGCACGTGTTCTTACAGGAACCAGAAATGTCTTGGCTTCTCTGCACTGGCTTCCTGTTAAATCCAGAATAAAATTTAAAATCCTTCTCCTTACGTACAAAGCTCTTCATGGTCAGGCCCTATCTTATCTTAAAGAGCTCTTAGTACCTTACTGCCCTACCAGAGAACTGCGCTCCCAGAATGAAAGGTTACTGGCAGTTCCTAGAGTCTTGAAAACTAGAATGGGCGCTAGAGCGTTCAGCTATCAGAGTCCTCTTTTGTGGAACCAGGTTCCAGTTTGGGTCCCGGAGGCAGACACCGTGTCTATATTTAAGAGTAGGCTTAAGACTTTCCTTTATGATAGAGCTTATAGTTAGGTTAAGTCCACCCCTAGTTATGCTGCTATAGGTCTAGACTGCCGGGGGATGCATCATGATGCACCGAGCTCCCCTTTCCTTTCTCTCTCTCCTTCCCGGTGCAACATCATTCCATTAACAATGTTACTAACTGGACTCTCTCCTTTCCTCGTAGTCGTGTGCTTTCTCGTCCCCCTTTTCTCTCCTCTCTCCTCCTAACACTTTCTGCAGATATTCCTGGCTCTGGAGCTGTGGGGTCTGGATCTGTGGTTGGGAGTCTCCTCCTATCACTTCCTGCAGGTGTTCCTAGAGCTGTGGAGTCTGGGTCTGTGGTTGGGAGTTTCCTGCTGCCCCCGTGTTCCTGCTCTGTTGCCGTCATAACTTCTACCATCATCATTAGTATTAATATCATTGCCATTTTTCATTTAGTCTGTGTTGCTGTGTTGGCTGCCTCTGTGCTCCCTCTGTCCTTCTCTCGCCCTCTCTCTCTTGCCCTCTCTTTCCCTCACCCCCAACCGGCCGAGGCAGATGGCCGTCCACCCTGAGCCATGGTTCTGCTCGAGGTTTCTGCCTGTTAAAAGGAAGTTTTTCCTTGCCTGTGTCGCCTAGTGCTTGCTCATGGTGGGAATTGTTGGGTTTCTGTAATTATCTTCAGAGTAGGGTCTGACCTGCTCTGTTTGGAAAGCGCTGTGAGACAGCTGTTGTTGTGATGTGGCGCTTTATAAATAAAATTGAATTGAATTGCTACTCCAGACCGCAGGAAAAAAAACAAACACTTTGCCACATAAATTTGTTGAAACCCTACTATGTGCGTAATTCGGCTAAAACAAAGTCTGTTTGTGCAGGTGCCTTTTCTGCAGAAGTTCATTCCAGTTTGTCTGCTGGTACAGTCAGCATTTAGTGGGGGGGGAGATGTGACGGTGCCTGATGTTGCGCAGCCGTCTGGAAAAACTCTGAAATGTTAAAAAATTTAGATGTGGTGTTGGCTCACTTGACAGTTGAACAGCGTACTGAGTTGGCAAAGCTAATAGAGTTATCCATCCATATTTGAGGACACGCCTTCCAGAACAACTTTAATTGAGCATGATATTGATGTGGGCGATGCAAAACCAATTTGACAGAGGTTCTATAGAGTATCAGAAGAACTTATTACTTCTACAGATTTTTTTACTCATTTTCACACCTAACAAGTAACCAAGCAATAACCTGCCCTTATTTGGAGCAGAATCATGCCTCCAAAACCAAAGAAAGATGAACAAGACCGCAAAGAAATAGCTGATATCACAGCCGTGCTAACGGCTAAGCTAGCGGAGACCAAAAGTTAACTGCTAGCTGAGATCAAAGACACCTACACGAGGTACGAGGCAAGGCTCATCAGTTTCTATAACTCTGTTCAAGACCACGACCACAACCAGTGATGAGCTAACTGACATGCGGGCTGAGCTAGCGGCGGTAGCTGCGGAGAATGCTAAGCTAAAGGCTAGGCTGATCGATCTCTCTGGATGAACCCTCCGTAACAACATAAGAATCGTGGGTCTGCCGGAACAAATAGAAAGCCAGACTAGACCTACTGAGTTCTTTTCCCAACTACTATGTGATGTGCTTGGTGCGGACATTTTGTCCACGGCATGTCGTGATCTGTTTTCATCATTTCCAAACGCGGAATATCTTCTTCACTGCCAAAACATCATGAAATGAACTGAAATGTGTATCATCTTGTGCCAGTGTATACAAGGGTATAAGGGATATGACACATTAAAATACCTGCCCGGTGTGAGGGTCGAACTCACGACCTTCATATTATGAGACTGACGTGCTGCCTAGTGCACGAGGCCTGCAAACATAAGAATGGTCAAAAGATGGACCAGCAAAATCCCCAGTCCAGGACAAAATGGTGCTTCCAGATTGTGAGACTGCTGTGCTGCTGTCTGTGGCCTGAATATCTTCCTCACTGCCAAAAGGCAGTGACAGTGACATAAGCAGGAAATGTTGGGCCAGAGTTCGCGTGTGTGTATATGAGGGACCTGACACATTAAAACTACTGCCCCATGTGAGGGCCCAACTCACGACCTTCAGATTATGAGACTAAGGCGTTGCCTACTGCGCTAACATGGAATAAAATATAGGGAAGGGTGAAATATCACTAAGGCGCAGTCCCGAAATTCAGCCTACACTGTGCTTCCACACGTGCTAAAAGGCCCTTAAATGAGTTGTAAATGTCGCTCATCTTGTGCCAGAGTTCGCTGGTGTGTATATGATTGATTTGAAGGATTAAAAATACTACCCATGTGAAGGCCAAACTCACCATTTTTAAGATTATCAAACTGATGCTCTGCCTGAACAGCAGAGAAGGGTGACATAAGGTGAGAGCGCAATCCACAATCCAGGACAAAGTGGTATTTCCACATGGTGAGGCGGCTATGCTGCCGCCTGTGGCATGAATATCTTCTTCACTGCCAAAAGGCCATGAAATAAGATGGAATTTTGGGTCATCTTGTGCCAGTTTATACAAGGGATATGACACTTTAAAATACATACCTGCCCCGTGTGAGGGTCGAACTCACGACCTTCAGATTATGAGACTGATGCGCTGCCTACTGCGCCAACGAGGCCTGAAAACCTGAACAAGGTCAAAAGATGCCAAACTGAAATCCCCAATCCACAACAAAATGGTGCTTATAAATTGTGAGACTGCTATGCTGCCGTCTGTGGGGCATGAATATCTTCCTCTCTACCAAAAGATCATGAAATGAGCTGGAAATGTATATCATCTTGTGCCAGTCTAGACCAGTGGTATGAAAAATTAAAACTACAACCGAGTGTGAGGTTAAAATTAATAACCTTACCATTATTAGACTGACGTGCTGCCTAGTGCACGAGGCCTGAATAGCAGAGAATGGTCACATAACGTGAGGGGGCAATCCCAAATCCAGGAGAAAACGGTGGTCCCAGATTGTGAGACTGCTGTGCTGCCAACTGTGGCCTGAATATCTTCCTCACTGCTAAAAGGCAGTGACAGTGACATAAGCAGGAAATGTTGGGCCAGAGTTCGCGTGTGTGTATATGAGGGACCTGACACATCAAAACTACTGCCCCATGTGAGGGCCCAACTCACGACCTTCAGATTATGAGACTAAGGCGCTGCCTACTGCGCTAACAAGGAATGAAATATAGGGAAGGGTGAAATATCACTAAGGCGCAGTCCCGAAATTCAGCCTAAACTGTGCTTCCACACGTGCTAAAAGGCCCTTAAATGAGTTGTAAATGTCGCTCATCTTGTGCCAGAGTTCGCTGGTGTGTACATGATTGATTGGAAGGATTAAAAATACTACCCATGTGAAGGCCCAACTCACCATTTTTAAGATTATGAAACTGATGCTCTGCCTGAACAGCAGAGAAGGGTGACGTAAGGTGAGAGCGCAATCCACAATCCAGGACAAAATGGTATTTCCACATGGTGAGGCGGCTATGC